TCCCCAGCGGCAATGTTTACACACCGCATCAGGTACTCAATTGAGGCTGAGTCGACTTAGGCGAGGCCCGGGACCAGTTCAGATAATCGTCACTTGGTGTTGGCCATGAGCGGGAATCGAACTCGGGTCGCCGGGTTCGCTCCCCACAACACAACGCACAGGTCACACATAACACAATTATGGCGCATGGCTACGAATGATGTGTGAAAGAATTTCAACATACATACACAAAAACCATTCAACACGCACCGCACCGCTCACTGCGCCCCCCACACACACACACACCACAAATCGTCAAATCACAACACGCACGGGAGGCCAGGCGATCTCCTTCGACTCCACCACCGCACTCCGCTCTCTCTCAGCTCAGCGGGGGTGGGGGGGGGGGTCCACGGTCCCCAGGCCAAAATGCTAAAGTGAGCAGCACTCTCGACATTGACCCCGGGGGCAAAACGTCATCAAACCTCCACTCAAAATGGCCCCATCGCCTTCCACAAGCATCCGTGGAGCACAACAGCAGTGGGGGCAATGCAAAGCACTTTTTTCCTCTCAACAAAATGGAAACTTAGTACGTCGGACTGCAATGGTAAGAGGGTTGCCCCTGTCTCGTCGGGAGGGGGGCGGCGAGGGGGGAGGGGGGGGGACGAGGGGGGGGGGGAGAACGGAACGGGCTAAGAGAGATGGTGCCTCGTGGCTCAGAGGTCAGAGGGCTGAGATCATTGGCTCGCCGAGCAGGATTGAAAACTATACTCAATATTTTTTTATTTTATTTTACCAGGTAAGGCCCACTGAGCTATGTAGCTCTTTTCCAGAAGTGACCTGGCCACAAATGATAGCTCAACGAAGTGGATTTGTCACGTGGACATTTAGAGCAGTCAAATACTGTGAACGCACATCGATTCTAAATGTGGAGGGATAAAAACGGAGCCTGGAAAAAAATCCACGAAACCACAGGGAGACAGACACGCAAACTCTAAATATACAGCAGCAGGCGTCAGGGTCGCCATCGAACCCACGACCTTCTGTATACCAGGTGAGGTAGCTAACATCTCATCAGAGTTTATGGTCTGAAATCCGATCGCCAATGACTGCACCCACAGAAAAAAAAAACCCCCATCCCATTAAACTCGGAGCCGCACTTAATTTGGCGGAAAAAAATTCCAGCTCCCGAGGATTAAATATTTAAATCGGTTCCACCTTCACGCGGGCACGGGCTGGGGGAAAGTGCTGCGCCCCGCACCACGCTACCGCCCCCCGCGCTACCGCCCCCCGCGCTCTGTGAAGCTACAGTCACTTGAAGGTAGCTGATTGATATCCGCTTCCGTGGGCCGTTGTCCCACCGCTCCGCCGCAAATGGACGCTTTGTTCCACGAAGGCTTGAGCGCCGTCGTGACCACATTGAGGACAATATCGGAATCAAAATATTTATAACTGCAGGAGAAATCCGATGAGCTGCAAAGCTCTTTTTCACACATGTCCAGTTGGGGCGGGTCAGAACGTGACAACAAACAACAAAAACAAAACACGATAGGAGTGTGCAAAGTATTGGAAAGGAAAACAAATCACTTAACAAAAATAAAAACAAACATTTTTTCCTTCATGTGACCAAGCAAAGCCCTCCGAGCTATTAGCTCCTTTTTCAGAAACCACCCTGGCCACGACTGATAGCTCAACCAAGTGGCTCATCATGTGGACATTTACAGCAGCAAAATCATCCCAACGCACGTTTCTAAATGTTGTCGTCCAGAGAACGGCGAGACGAGAGCGCTCGTGCACGCCGTGGGGCGGGGCGGACGCAGACGCACCTTCAAAGCGCGCATTTCACTCGTCTCCTGGACGTGTGTGAAAAGGTGCTTCATAGCTCACCCGGATCGCTGCAGTATCAACATTCGTATTCTGAAGACAAGTGCTGTGGGTGTGCGCTCCCCCCAAATCTCCACTTCATCCCTCGTCCTCCACCCAAACCCCCCCCCCCCCCCCCCCCAGTCTCTCTCGCATGTCTCTCTCTCTCTCGTGCTGTCCGCATGGGAACCGAGTCTTCCAATTACCCTCTTGGGCAGCCGCCGCTCTCCCGATTCCCCCCCTCTATTTCGGCGCCACCCCCCCCCCCCACGACGGCGCCTCTGAAGGGGCATCTCGTATCAATCGAGGAGGAGGAAACACTCTCGGCTTCGGGCCCCCTAATGAAGTGTGCAGCGACACGCGTGCCTCCCCCCCTACCCCCCGCTTGCTTGTGCTCGACCTCACGCACGCGTGACCTCACACGTGCGAGGATACCACTTGTCCACAACCTCTCGCTCGTACACGGCCGCGCAACGAATTACATGGGGTCCTCGCACGCGCGACCTCACACACACACACATGCGCGCGCGTCCGTTCCCGTACACACGACGTCACACACACACACGTGCAACCACACAATGGATTGCATGCGGCCCTCACAAACATGCAACCTCATGCACATGCACATACACGACCTCACACGCAGGCACATACACTCAAAGTCGACCCCTCTCATACACACATATATACACACACACACATGCTCAAACACGGCCACGCTGGCTTATAAGCAGCAGCAGCCTCCCGCAGGCACACGCAAAGATCCCCTTGTATATCCTGAACAGATTGTTGTGGCTGTTAGCGACACCTGTGAGGGATGGCATGGCCAGCACCACGCCCGGCCGCCTTTGTCTCCCCAGTGGGGATATTTACACACCGCACCAGGTACTCATTTGAGGCTATGTCGACATAGGAGAGGCCCAGAACCGATTCAGATAATCGTCACTGGTGTTAGCCGTGAGCAGGAATCCAACTCGGGTCGCCGGGTTCCTAGCGCAGTGCGATAACCACCACCGCTCCCCACATACACACACGACCTCACATACTCACGATTGTGCGCGCACACACACACACTCACCCTCCACCTTGCTTTTACACACACACATGCTTAAATTCAACCCATAAGGCTTACCCATGACCTCACACACGCACCACACTCTCACATACACGCACCACACTCTCACACACACGCACCACACTCTCACACACACACGCACCACATTCTCACACGCACGCACCAGATTATCTCACACATACACACACGCACATTATCTCACACATACACACATGCACCAAATTCTCTCACACACACGCACCATTCTCTCACACACACGCACATTATCTCACACACGCACCAAATTCTCTTCACACACACACGCACCACATTATCTCGCACACACGCAGCACATTCTCACACACACACAAGCACTCTTCAAACACTCATACGCACCCAGACACACGACCTCACACGCACACTTACACAGCTCAATAAAAACAACCGCACTTCGCCGCTAAGTGGCGGTGACGTCACCACGGCACCAGGCTGGGTGCACTCTGAGGCCACCTGAAGCATCGAAGGCTCGCCGCTGGCAGGAGATGACGGGGACAGACAGACCCGGGTGCCATGGGTTGACCGACTGAGATGACTGGCAGATGAACCACCTGCGCTTCCCCACTGTGCCAACTCGCTGCGTCACAGCTGCCCGGCGCTCCGCTTGTTGTTGTTAGCGTCGCTCCCCCGCCTCAACACACTGTAGGGGCAAGTGCTGTTAGCGAGTCGCACCTATGAAGGCTACCGGCACCGTGGCACACGAGGGGGTGGGTGGCCAGCACCAGGCGCGGCCGCCTTTGTCTTCCTCGTGGGGATATTTACACAGCGCACCAGGTACTCATTTTGAGGCTGAGTCGACCAAGACTGGTTCAGATAATCGTCACCGGTGTTGGCCGTGAGCGGGAATCGAACTCTGGTCGCCGGGTTTCGTTCCGTTAGAAATCTGTGGTAGCAGCGAACGTGGTGGTTGTGTTTTTCTTCTTCTTTCCGCTAGAGCAGCCCCATAATTTTTTAAAAATTAATGTTAAGAGGCGCGCGCGGACGCACGCACTCGCATATAATCCTTTGCACACAAATGACCTTGCACACGCGCGCACACACACAGACACACGCATGCACACACACACAGACACACGCACGCACACACACACACACGCACGTGCCTACACACACACGCACGCGCAAGAGCAAACGCAGAAATCTCTTTCACACAGGCTTAGGCATGCGCATGCACGCGCGCTCGCTTGCACCCTCCTCTCTCTCTCTCTCTCACCCACACCATCTTTCTCTCACATTGTAAGTCGCTCACACGCACGCGCACGTGCGCACACACACACACAGTGCCTCAATCACACTCGGTGACACGCGCACGCACACACACACACACAGTGCCTCAATCACACTCGGTGACACGCGCACGCACACACACAGTGCCTCAATCACACTCGGTGACACGCGCGCGCACACACACAGTGCCTCAATCACACTCGGTGACACGCGCACAATCGCTCGCACGTCGTCGCGCTCCCATTCTCTCGCGGGCGCACGGTGGTGGCGGCGGCGGCGTACCTCCCCCCTCGCCGCAATTACGCGGAATTAACTCTCACGGCGACAATTACCGCCTCTCCCTTCGGCGCGCGGCGGCCAACTGGACAGCGGCCCCACGCGGCGACGGCGCCACGCACGTGCCTCCGCTGCGCCGGCTTTGTGACGACATCGATCAACGCCCCCCACCCACCAACCCACCCCATTCTCGGAACCTCCCCAACACCCACCCATCCCCTTCAACCTCCCAACCCCCCCCCCACCACCACTCCACAACAGGCCCCCCACCCCCCACCTCTCGATTGCACAATGGCGCAGCTGCGTGTACACAATGCATCACTCCAGTCCGGAGCGGCTTGTTAGGCACGCACTACTGGATGGATGCGCGTTTACCTTGGGGGGGGGGGGGGGGGGGGAGTAGCGACGTGACACAAACTCTAATTACCCAGAGGAGTGTGAGCGATGGCCGCTAAAGCGATGCTTTAACGCACCCATCCTGGAGCCAGAGCCCTAGCCCCCCCCCCCCTCTCACGCCGAGCCCCCACCCCACCAACATTCAACCTCCACCCTACGGCGCAGCCAAATCTGTTACCGGGCCGACGGCGATTGCCAATTACAGCGTAACTTGACACGGGGCCCGGAGACCACGTCCAATCACAACACAGCAGAGCGGTGCTCATGGCAAAAAGGGGGGAGAAGGAACAGAGACCCTCTGGACCTCCCCCCACCGCCCTCCCTCTCCACGCCAGTCCATGCACCCCCCCACGCCGCCCCTGAACCATCCGCAATCAATCCGGCCCAATCGGCTCAGGTGAAATCAATGAACGTTTAGGCACGAGGGGGGGGGCGGTGGTGTGCGTATGCCGGGAGTGGTGCACACCTGCGGCGTTGGGGGTGAAGACCATGAGGTTGTCGGGGGCTGCCCGCTCCTCCGTCACCTGGGGCGTCAACAGGTGTGCTGGCAAGGCCTACGCAAAACACACGCGGCACACACACACGCACACGCGTGTCACAAGCATGTGGACGGGGGTTGGTGTGCAACCCGCGCACGGAGACACCGGGACGAACACAAGGCACACGCGCCACGACGACCAAAACAACAACAGCAGCAGCAGCAGCAGCCACCGACGTCGCCACTGCACACTTTGAGGTCCACGCCAGGTGTCGAATATTCGCTGGCAAAGAGGTCACGGGGAGGACCAAGGAATGTGCACGGGCTGACTGGTGGGATAACTGGCAGATGCGCCACCTGTGCTTCCCCGCTGTGCTGACTTGCTGCGTTTGTGACGCTCCTCCGCCAACGTTTGAACAGCGCGCGCGCGCACACACAAAAAGGCGTGCGTTTCACACATCACACACACGTGTGTGTGACACACACGTCACGCACATGCCGGGCGTCCTCCCACGCATGTATCACGCGCGTCAATCGCTTCACAAACCCGGCCAGGCATGCACCACACATCACACGGCACACAAACCACACGGCGCGCACACACACACACTCTCCATACACACACACACTCTCCATACACACACACACACACACTCTCCATACACAGTACACACACACACTCTCCATACACACACACACTCTCCATACACAGTACACACACACACTCTCCATACACACACACACTCTCCATACACAGTACACACACACACTCTCCATACACACACACTCTCCATACACAGTACACACACTCTCCATACACACACACATACTTTCCATACACAGTACACACGCACACACACTCTCCATACACACACACTCTCCATACACAGTACACACACACACTCCCCATACACACACACTCCCCATACACAGTACACACACACACTCTCCATACACAGTACACACACACACACTCTCCATACACAGTACACACGCACATCACAGGACGCGCGCGCACACACACATTCCACAATGATGAAGATCCCCCGTATAGCCTTAACAGAATTTTGGGTCAAGTGCTGTTAAACGAGCATCTATGAAGGCCGGCACGTTACACATGGGGGTGGGTGGCCAGCATCACGCCCGACCGCCTTTGTCTTCCCAGTGGCGATGTTTACACCCCACACCAGGTACTAGTCTTGAGGCTGAGTCGACCTCAGGGATGCCCAGGACCGGTTCAAATATTTGTCACTGTTGTTGGCCGTGAGCAGGAATCGAACTCTAGTCTCCGGGTTCGGAGTGCAGTGCGCTAACCGCTACACCACCACTCCCCACACACACAGCACACACTCTCATCACACACACACTAAAAACACGCACATTACATACACACCCCACACAATTGCACGGAGCGCATTACACACACTGCATACACAATAATCACACCACAGACACGTGCATTACGATACACACAGACATTACACGGCATACTAAGACAAAAATCACCCTCCCCCGCCCCATCATGCAAACTCTTGAGGCCAGTACTGTGAGCGAGCACCTATTAAGGCCAGGCCCGGCACGGCGCCACGATGGGGTGGTGTGGTCCAGCACCACCCAGTGGTCAAGTCGCCTTCTTGTCTCAGCAGTGCTGACGTTGACACACCGCCGCACCAGGTACTCGTTTGAGGCCAAGTCGACCGAAGGGGATGGGGGATTCCAGGATCGGATCGGATCACTCGCTCAACACGCCACACTTGGCGCAAGCGTGCGTACTCGGCGCAAGCGTGCGGTTCTCTCCCGCCCTCCCTCTCGCGGTTTTCCCGAATCGTCGCAATTCGGGGCCCGCAATTCACAAATGAATACATTTGTTGGTCTCGTTGGTCACGCTTCTTGTCGGCAGCTTTAGTTGCTCCATTAGTCGGAATGGAGCATTAGCATAGTCATTTGCATGTATGTTCGCATGGATTCAACGAAAACCGATTCTCGCATGCGCAATTTGATTCGACGCACGGTTACGTCAATGACATTGCAAAGACATAAACAAAGATCACCCCCTATAGCCTGTAACAGACTGGTGGGGCAAGTGCTGTTAGCGAGCAGCTATAAAGGCCGGCACGGCACACACGAGGGGGTGGGTGGCCAACACCACGCCCGGCCGCCTTTGTCTCCCTAGTGGCGATGTTTACACACCACACCAGGTACTCATTTGAGGCCGAGTCGATCTAGGGGAGGCCCAGGACCGGTTCAGATACTCATCACTGGTGTTGGCCGTGAGCGGGAATCCAACTCGGGTCGCCGAATTCGTAGCGGAGCGCGCTGACCGCTGCACTACCGCTCCCCAACACATAAAGAGAGACCATACACACACAGCACACGCATACATACACACCATACACAGCACATTACACGTACATACTTGCACACACAAATTATACTTGGCATGTCACTGGCATGTCACGCTTGCAAATGAGACTCGCCTGGCCTCTTGAGCTCTCACGCGATTAAACAACGAAAAAACTTGACATCAGAGCACAACAAATACAATTCACATTACACGTGAAACACAACGCACGTCAGTACACAACGTGTATTCATGCACATCTTACATTCGGACATGCGTGCCCCACTCAGGCACATCTGCACATACACCCACGCACCCTCAAGCGCCAAACATCTGCACTTGCAACCAATGACAAAGATCCCCCGTATAGCCTCAGTGTTGTTGGCGAGCACCTATGTAGGCCGGCACGGCACACGAGCGGGTGGGTGGGTGGTCAGCACTATGGCAGGCCACCTTTGTCTCCCCAGTGGCGATGTTTACACATCGCACCAGGTACTCATTTAAGGCTGCTCTGGACCTAGGGGATGCCCAGCACCGGTTCAGATAATCGTCAATTGTGTACACACAAACACAAATGCACCCACATTGCACACATACATGAACACAGCACACATGAACACACACACACACACACCCTCTCTCCAATACATCCACACACTTAGGTACCCACCGCACACACCTCCCGTCGCTCACACAAACGAACGCACGCTAACGAGCAAGACGTGCGCATGGGCACACGGCGCATCCCCGCGGACGTGGTCACGCTGACAGCAGCAGAGGAACAGATCATCGAGATGAAAGGAGTCACTCTGGTGGATTCGTGCAATCGGCACAAAAAACAAGTCACACCACACGGCGCGAGCGAGCGAGCGAGCGTACGTCAAGCTGGAGGAAGCAATTAGGGCGACTCGCGCGGATACACGAGCAGACGAGCAACGAGACGGGAGCTGCTGCTGCTGCTACTGCTGCCCATGCGCCAACGGGCAGCAGCTGCTGCTGCTGCTACTGCTGCCCAGAGGCAAGGGTGGGAACAATTTCCACCAGCTGCTCACCAGCCCCACCTACCCAACCATCCTGAACAGCTCACCATTCCCCTCCGCCCAGCACCACCCCCCTGCCCACCACCACCCCTTTTTGCCCACCACCCCCCCCTGCCCACTACCCCAACACCCCACCATCCCCACCTCTCTACCCCCCCATCATCCCAAAACCCCACCATCCCCGCCTCTCTACCCCCCCACCACCCCATCACCCCAACACCCCACCATCCCCACCTCACTATCCCCCCACCACCCCCACCTCACTACCCCCCCACCACCCCCACCTCTCTACCCCCCCACCATCCCCGCCTCTCTACCCCCCCACCACCCCAACACCCCCCACCATCCCCACCTCTCTACCCCCCCACCATCCCCGCCTCACTACCCCCCCACCACCCCAGCACCCCACCATCCCCACCTCTCTACCACCCAATCACCCCACCATCCCCACCTCTCTACCCACCCACCATCCACGCCTCTCTACCCACCCACCATCCACGCCTCTCTACCCACCCACCATCCCCGCCTGTCTACCTCCCCACCATCCTCATGCCTGTCTACCTCCCCACCATCCTCACGCCTGTCTACCTCCCCACCATCCCCGCCTGTCTACCTCCCCACCATCCTCACGCCTGCCCGCTCAGCGACTCGTGCGGCGAGCGAACAAGGGAGGCGACCTCGCGCATCTTCGGGGGGGGGGGAAGGGGGTGCGATTCGGTGAAACAGGAAATACATCAATTACCATGGATTAATTAGATTAATAAAAGCCATTTCTCCCCCCTTTGCTCCCTCCGGGCATTTCCCACACGCAGAGATTAAGTGCGTTACTCAAATCAATGAAGGCCGGGCGATAATGCACGACGGGATAATAGGGGTTTCATGCTCGGGGATCATTTTAAAGGCATTAAAGGCTCGCGATAACACAGGCAGGTTCATATATTTGAGCAGACAGTCGCCTAATGGGCATTGGACCTCAAACGGGCCCCCCCCCCCCCTCTCAGCACACCCTCTCCCCTGCCCCTCCACTCGGTTCCTACGCATTCCACGGCCGTGTTGGCGAGGCCCTCCTCCTCCTCCTCCACACACCCCGTCGCTTGCCATCCTCCAACCCTCCAACCCCCGTCTCCTGTGCCACCGGGAGTAGTGAGTCACCGCTGCCCCCCCCTGCCGCCAAACCCCGTACCATGGTGAGTCACGCCGCATCGTGATGAGCGGTGTGGTGAGGTGCCCCCGCCCACCCTGTGAAATGCCAAGCGGTTCGGCACCCCAGCGCCACGCTGAGAAGTGAGGCACCACCCCCCCCACCCCCCGCACGTCGTGGCGAGCGGTGAGGTACAGCGGTGAGGTTACCCTGGCGAGGTAATATTTTAGCGGCGAGGCAACCCCCAACCCCCTCTGCCGTGACGCGTGACGATGTACGCCGGCGACGCGAGTTGCGTGAAGCACATCCCCCCCCGCCGCCCCGTACCGTGGCGAGTGGCGAGTCGCAGCCGAAGAAGGGAGTGGTGAGCAGCGAGCCACCCGCACACCACAGGAGCCCTGGGGAGAGAGAAACGCGCGTCAAACAGCGGCCCGCGCTCTTAATCCCCGCTAATCCCTCTCCGCCTCTCACGCCACTTTACTACACGTGCGGGGTAGGGGTGGAGCGGGTGGAGGGGGGCACACGCGGGCTCTGAGCCCCCGCCCCCCTCGCCTGACGATAAAAGTTGGCTGGGCAAGGCGCATCCAAGGAGGGAACGCTGAGGAGCAGGAGGCAAAGATCCCCCGTGTAGCCCACGCAGCAATGCGAGGGCAAGTGCTGTTGGTGAGCACCTACGGCGCATGAAGGTGCGGTGAGGCCTGCACCGTGACCGTTTGCCTTTGTCTCCCCAGTGTAGATGTTTACACACCACACCAGGCGGAGGCTCACAACCGGTTCCGATATCCGCCACTGATGTTAGCCGGCGGGAATTGAACCCATGAAATCAGGCTCGTACTGCACTGCGCAAACGACTGCGCCCTTCAAAGGTGCTCACTAACAGCACTTGCCCCAAAAAGTATGTTAAGGCTACACGGGCGATCTTTGTCTATGTACGTGGGCTCGGTGTGTGCAGCATGGGGCGGCGGGTGTGTGTGTATGTATGCGTGCGCGTAGGGCTGGCGGCGGGTGCCACTTGTTTAACCAACGGGTGCCCCGCTAATCCTCACACATCGGGGCCAACAACAGTTTCGTGAGCAGCGCGACCAGGAACATCAACACCACGACGGTGGTACACACACACACACCGACAGCAGCCACACTGAGACATAGACCCCCCCCCCCGCAAACCCTTAACAGACTGTTGGGGCGAATGCTGTTAGCGAGCACCTACGAAGGCTGGCACGGCACACGAGGGGGGTGGCGTGTGGCCAGCACCACGCCCGACCGCCTTTGTCTCCCCAGCGACGATGTTCTTGCACACCGCACCAGGAACTCATCTGAGGCCGAGTCGACCGAGGGGAGGCCCGAGACCAGTTCAGAAAATCTTCACCGGCGTTGGCCGCGAGCGGGAATCGAACACACGCGCAATTGCAACTTCGATACTACTTAACCTACGAGGTGATAAACAAGACGTAGTTACACGCGATCCTACAGCCAAAAGTCACGCACAAAGATCCCCCGTACGGCCACTGATATTGTAGGGGCAAGTACTGTTTATAGACACGAAGGGGTGGAATGGCGAGCTAAACCCCCGATCATCTTTGAGTCTCCTCGGTGCTGGGTTGTTTTTTTTGACACACCACACCAGGTGCTCATTTGAAAGTCAAGTCGGCCTCAGGGAGACGGAGGGCTGACCCAGACAGCATTAGCCACCGATGTGAGCCGTGGCCAGGAATGGTTCCTGTGTTCACAGCACAATGCGCTAAACACTTCAACCACCATTCCCCGCAAACACGAAGATCCCTCCGTATCGCCTTTAATGCAACGCTTATTTGTTTTGGTGGGGATAAAGGAAAGGCCCCCACAGATTAAGACACAAAACAAAGATCCCCTGTACAGACTGTTGGGGCAAGTGCTGTGAGAGTAAGCGCCGACGAAGGCCAGCATGGCGCACGAGAGGGCGAGTGGCCAGCACCACACACCCAGACGCCCCTTTGGCGATGTTCACACACCGCACCAGGTACTCATTTGAGGCCGAGTGGACCTAGGGGAGGCCCAGGACCGGTTCAGATAATCGTCACCGGTGTTGGTGGCCGTGAGCGGCAATCGAACCCGGGTCGCCGGGTTCGTAGCCCAGTTCGCTAACCGCTGCACCACCGCTCCCCACTACAGCCACACGGGCACCTAACCCAACACACGGCAGGCAGCAGCGAGCGGTCGCACACACGGCGACTCGACACGCGTGTGCATGAGCACGCGTGTGCACGAGCTGGCGTGTGCACGAGCTGGCGTGTGCACGAGCTCGCGCGCACAACGGGCGGGGGGACAGACAGGTCCCGGCGGCGCTCGCGGTTATCGTGCCCCATCGGCAGAGGCAGCCATCAGCGCGACCTTTTAATTAGCGTGACGTGACGAAACGCACGGACTTCAACGCCGCCGCCACCACCTCCACCTCCGCCCGCGGACAACAGTGGGGGAGGATGTCACGATTGCCTGCTCGCCCGCCCACTTTGTTTGCTCGCTCCCTCGCTCCCTCAACCCGCACATTCACTCAACGCGCTAATCCATTCATCCTCCAGCTCCCTCACCCGCCCACTCACCTGCTCAATCGCACACCCGCTCACCCGCTCAACCGCCCCATCCACTCGCTCACTCGCTCAATCATCCGCTTACCCACCTCGCTGCTCACTCACCAACTCGCACGCACGCTCGCTCGCCACTCAGCCACTCACCCGCCACTCAGCCACTCACCCGGGTCGCTGGACAGTGGGACGAGGAGCTCCCCTCTGGTCCCCGCATCCTCCTCCTCCACCCGCTGGCGCTCGGGGGTGCGAGCGGCCGCCGCTTGGCTCGGCACCAGGTACTTGCTGATTGACAGCTCCAACTAGCGCCGCCCGACAAAATAACGACGCTCCATTAGCACGTGGAGGCACGGGGGGGGGGGGCAGGGCCGCCCCTCCTCTCACGCTCGCGCTATCGCCGCGGTAATTGCTCCGCCCCCCCCCCCCTTTTAGAAAAGGGGAGCCGATAATGAGCAATGCAAACCGGGCCTTTTAATGAGCGCGCCTCGTTGTTCTGCTACATTAAATAACCTCCCATCCCCGGAGAGCAGGGTTAAAAGATTGACTTCGACATAGCCCATTTACTGTGTTGCAGGTAATTAATCCACAAAACTTATGCAAACTATCTGCTCGTTGGCTGCCCGTGTGTGGTGGAGGGAAGCGAGGGTTACCTGCTCATGCCCCCCCCACCCCCCCGTGATCCCCCCCCACCCCTCCCGTGATCCCCCCCCATCCCCCACCCCCCACCCCGTGATTCTTGCCCAAGCCTCGCAAGTGGATCTCACCTCATCCACGTCTCGCTCAGAGGCCAGCGACTCTGCAGGGCTCGGCTCCACCTGCCAGCACCTACACCATGACGTGACCACACGTGCCACAAAGACAAAGATCCCCCCCCATATAGCCTTAACAGACTGTAGGGGCAAGTGCTGTTAGCGAGCACACGCAACACCACACACATACCACACACACACACCACACACACACATACCATTGATACTAAAGACAAAGAGCCCCCGTATAGCCTGAACAGACTTTTTGGGCGAGTGTTGTTAGCAAGCACCTACCATGGCCGGCACGGCACACAAGGTGGTGGGTGGCCAACACCACGCCCAGCCACTTTTGTCTGCCCAGTGGCGATGTTTACACACCATACCAGGTACTCATCTGAGGCTGAATCGACCTAGGGGAGGCCCATGACCGGTTCAGATAACCGTCACTGGAATTGCCCGTGAGCGGGAATCAAACTCGGGTCGTTGGTTCTTTAGCGCAACTCTCTAATCACTGCACGACTGCTCCCACACGCACCACACACACACATACTATGGATACCATTGACAAAGCCACACACACACATACCACGCACCATAGACACACAGCCATACCATACAAACCACACACCACCCATAGACACCACACAGACCCTCACCACACTGTACGCAGTCACATCCTCACCACACTGTACGCAGTCACATCCTCACCACACTGTACACAGTCAGACCCTCACCATACTGTACAGTCACATCCTCACCACACTGTACACAGTCAGACCCTCACCATACTGTACACAGTCACACCCTCACCACACTGTACACAGTCACACCCTCACCACACTGTACACAGTCAGACCCTCCCCACACTGTAGTCAGACCCTCACCACACTGTACACAGCCAGACCCTCACCACACTGTAGAGTCACATCCTCACCACACTGCACAGTCACATCCTCACCACACTGTACACAGCCATACCCTCACCACACTGTACAGTCACATCCTCACCACACTGTACGCAGTCACATCCTCACCACACTGTACACAGTCACATCCTCACCACACTGTACACAGTCAGAACCTCGCCACACTGTACACAGTCAGACCCTCGCCACACTGTACACAGTCACATCCTCGCCACACTGTACAGTCAGACCCTCACCACACTGTACAGTCAGACCCTCACCACACTGTACACAGTCACATCCTCACCACACTGTACACAGTCAGACCCTCACCATACTGTACACAGTCACACCCTCACCACACTGTACACAGTCAGACCCTCACCACACTGTACACAGTCACATCCTCACCACACTGTACACAGTCACATCCTCACCACACTGCACACAGTCACATCCTCACCACACTGTACACAGTCACACCCTCACCACACTGTACACAGTCACATCCTCACCACACTGTACACAGTCACATCCTCACCACACTGTACACAGTCACATCCTCACCACACTGTACACAGTCACACCTCCACCACACTGTACACAGTCACATCCTCACCACACTGTACACAGTCACATCCTCACCACACTGTACACAGTCACATCCTCACCACCTGCGTGCGCGCACGGCTGCGAGGAAGCGGCCCTCCCTGCTGGACGCCCCACGCCACTGCAACCTCCACACGAGGGCGGGCGGTGGTGGAATTGGTGAGGTGGTGGTGAGGGGATGAGGCTTGTAATGGTGGTGGGGGCAGGAAGTGGTGGTGAAGTTCTTCTGATGGCGGCGGTGATGATGATGGTTCAGTGGTGGTGGGATTGGCGAGATGGCGATGATGGATGGGGGCCTGGGAGAGCGGGTGGACGGTGGGAGGGATGGATGGAGGACAGCGTGGTGAGCGAGGTTGGCAGCAGGAGTGAGGGACGAGTGGGGTTACCTGGGGGGGCTGTCAGGGGGTGTCGGGCGAGGGGGGCACGGGGGCAGGGCGCGGGGTCTTGCGTAGGGGTCTCCGCGCCTCCCTCGGCGTCTCCCCCTCAAAGGCGACCGTCACGGAGGGGGTCATGCTCCCCCCACGTGACCTCTTGCTGGCCCCTGGGTGTTGCGGGGCTCCGCAGTGGTGAGGCCACCCCCTGCTGTGGTGAGGCCTCTCCCTGCTGCAGTGATGCGGCCTCTCCCTGCCGTGTTGGTGGGGCCTCCCCCTGCTGTGGTGGGAGTGGGGCCTCTCCCTCCACGCAGCATTCCTCTGGGACAAGAGAGTGCATCGCGTAAGGCACTTGACCAATTGGGGAGCAACCACAAACAAGCTCCGTCAATAACAACCGCCACTCGCACCTAGCCTCCAAGAGGGCGGGATCCCCCTTTGGAGGGGATCACCGAAGGTAGGAGGGGGACCACACAGAACTGGAGCCCCACAAGGATGCATGGGGTCTAAGGGCCAGAAGGGGTAGGACCCCTTAAGGTGGGACGCCGATTAATGCAATCGTCCCCCAACCCACCGCACGCCCCAATAACCGAACCCCGGCGTCACCTCCCACCCCCACACCGCCCCCCGGCTCAACCGTGCCCGGGGAGGAGAGGGGGGGGTATCCCCCAAGGCTTTCGCAGATTCACTAAAACTCGGCTCTAATGTCCCATCAAAATTCTCCACGAAGCCTGTCATGCGTTTAAAAATGGCCAAGTGAACCGTACAGAGAGAAACATATTTGTATTTTAAATTTAACTTAAGCGACGAAGCCTACGGAAAACGCACACGCACGCTTCACGCTACGGGAAAATGTGCCCGTTATATTAAAGCTCCGAAGGATTTCTATTCCCATCTAACTCTGACACCTCCCTAATCCAGAAATGGACTGCACGGATTCCCAAGTAATTGAATTTCCATTAAAATATAAATTACCATTTTCTCTCAAAAGGCAATAAAGCATAAAAAGCAGCGCAGCGCCAGCGACCTGAATATTTCATTACAGACTCGGCCAAGCCCATTACACGTCGCAGTGACTAATGACTAAATAAGCAGGACAGTTAAAGGGCTGGGGCGAAACCGGAGACCCACGTCGAAGCCAATTAGGCGGCTCGTGTCAGAACACAGAGGAGTCCCCGTCACAAGACGTAACCAGAAAGCGCCGGCAAGCACAGACATGGAGATAAAGAGAGACGGGGGGGGGAGATAAAGGAGAGACGAGATGAAGGGAGAGACGCGGCGGGGAAGATAAAGACGTGAATAGACGTGCAGACAAGTCGACAGAAGGAGGGGGAGGAGACAGAAGCTCGGGATGAAAGGTTTCCGCTTCAAATTCAATTGTTAACGCGTGTTTCATTAGCTAACAGACGCGGATTTCTCTACCGCACGCGCGTGCGCAATTTAAATTCGGCCCAAAAAGGCTCCAATCCGCGTGTCGCCCCGAGTTTCGCGCTGCGATGTGCGCACGCTTCCTTTGTGTTAACCGGCGAGAAATCCTCAAAACGCAGGTTTCACACTTCGCCTGATGCCACGAGCACGGCGACTGGCGAGACCACGGCAGCCCGGCGTGCAGCCGGCGTTCGCAGCCTTTCATCGGTGCTCGAAAAGCAACTTCTTGGCCAAACTGTCCGAAATGCTTCGCACGTCTGTCCGTCTGTGCGTGCGCCGTGCGATGGCGTGTCTCACCGACGCCCTTGGCTCCGCGTGCCAGCGCCGCCTTGGCCCTGAACGCGGCGAGTCTCTCGCGAGCGGCGCGCTGGGCGCCGTCGTTGCGCGTGGCCGGGGCACGCGGCGCCGCCACCACCGCCGCCTTCTTCTTCTGTCGGCACGACACACGGCGACAGAGACGACAACCGTCACCCCCCGGCAAGAATCGTCGAGTCTCAACACGGGGGAGGCAACCTGACGCGACCGACAACTAACGTGCGAGTTTCAACGCGGCGTGCAACTTGACCATTAACTCGCGCCGAGTTTAAACTCGGCAGCAACGGCAACGCGACGCTACGCTATCGTCAACAAACACGAGTCTGTGGCGCAACAACGGTGGCCATATCGTTGCATAGCGCAGCGCTGTCAGAGCCACCCTGCTCCTCACGGGGCTATCATTCTGCGAGCAGCAGTAGCATCAGCCTGGGCCACACAGCACTCCTGAGGGAGAGCAAGGCGGAGAAGGCGTGGGGATGGGAGGGGGACAGGGAGGGAGGGAGCCTACCCTGGCGGGGAGAGGCTTCGGGGGTGGCATGATCAAATCCTCTTTCCAGCCAGCACCCTGCATTTTTTCCAGTTCTGCAAACTTTTTATTCACGTCCTCCACCTGCACGCACACACACACACAAACACCACCCGTAGAGCCTTTTAACAGACTGTTAAGGCAAGTGCTGTTAGCGAGCAACTGTGAAGGCCAGCACGGCACATGAGGGGAACGTGGGCGGCCAGCACCACGCCCGGCCGTCTTTGTCTCCCGAGTGGCGATGTTTACACACCGCCACGTGTACTCATTTGAGTCGACCTAGGCGAGGGTCCAGAACTAGCGGTTCAAATAATCGTCACCGGTGTTGGACGTGAGCAGGAATCAAACTCAGGTCACCGGGTTCGTAGCGCAGCGCACTAGCCGCTACATTACTAAGTGCACACGCACGCACGCATGACCACAGGCTCGCACGCCTCGGATGAGTCCGAAGAGAGACGAGTCTCTGTTGGTGAAAGCGATGAATTGTTGGTCGGAGCGAGGAATCGTTTGTGTGTGGGAGCGGTAGCGCAGCGCACTGCGCTACGCTACCTGGCGACCAGGGTTAAATCCCCGCTCACGACCCATAACAGTGGCGATCATCTGAACCGGTCCTGGGCCTCCCCTAGGTCATTAGACGGCTGAGTTGATGTGCACGTATGTTTCACTTCTTTAGCACCATACGTTCAACATATATACATACAGGTCGACTCAGCCTCAAATGAGTACCTGGTGCGAGTGTGTAAACATCGCGACTGGGGAGACAAAGGCAGTCGGGCGTGGTGCTGGCCACCCACCCCCCTCAAGTAGCATTTCCCAGGAAAGCATCCCCGATGTATAATGAGGGATTCCTGTAAATGTCTGTTCGTGCGTTTGCGTCTGTGCGCGTGTGTATGTCTGGCATCTGGGCGTGTCCTGTGCCGGCCTTAAGGAGGTAGCTACTCGCTAACAGCGCTCGCCCCAACAGTCTGTTAAGGCTGCACGGGGGCGCATCTTTGTCGTTGCGGCCCCTACTCTACCTGGAAATAAACCATGTCCCAGAAGCCGGCGAGGTCGCACAGGGTGGTGGGCTTCTCTCCCCGGCCCAGGTCGCAGTCGTCCACCAAGCCCTCGAACTGGCGGAACCTCTCGGCCATCAGCAGCCGCGCCATCCCCACCGCAATGCGCACGGGCCCGCTCACTGCGCGCACCATTACGAGCACACTTGGGTTAACACTTGCGCGCGGATTAACGCTCGCAAACGGATTAGCGTGCGCACGCGCAGAGGGATTACCGCGCAAACACGGGTTAACGCACGCGGGTTCACGCAAACACACAGGCGCGGATTAATGTTGGGGAGGTGGGGGGAGATCGGGCGAGCTCGTGCAGGTTAAGACGCCGCACGCAGGCAGACACACAGACAAAAGATCCCCGGCATTGCCTCATCAGACTGTCGGGGCAAGTGCTGTTAGCGAGCACCGATGAAGGCCGGCACGGCACACGAGGTGGATTAGAGATCACCTTGCGGCTCCAGAGATGCCAGTTGGCCACCACTGATCTAAATCATCCAAATACTCCAAACACGTCACGTTGATTCTAAATTTGGAGGGGAAAACCAGAGGAACCGGAGAAGAAAAAAAATCGCAGGCGATCACGGGGAAAGAGGCGTGCAAACTCCAAACCTGCAGGCATTAGGGTCGGGATCAAACCCCCGACCACCTGGGTACCAGCCAAGGAAGATAACATCACGCTACCATGGCGCTCGTTCATCGGCGACGTATACGCGAAGCAACGCACAAGGGGGAAACACGACACGCGTGCAGGACGCGCGCACCAAACACACGTGCCTGGTTCTTACGAGCAACAGACACCTGCTAAATACGCGAATGGCATTTGTTGTGCTGCAGGTGTCGATCTTCACAGCGCCAGTGGTGAACCAGCAGAGGCTGGGTGGTGCGGGCGGAGGAGAGGCGAGAAGGGGAGAAGGGGGGGGGAGAGTGATGAGGGGAGGAAATGAGAGGGGGAGGGGAAGAAGAGGGGAGGAGGGGAGCTCACTTTCTTCAGGGATCTCCGCCACGACGTCCACGTGCTCCCACTTCTCACACTGCAGAGTCAGGCGGGCGCTCTCCTCCCGCAGGAGGGACCTAGACAAACGCACGGCCGTGCGCACGCCGTTACACACAGGCACAAAGACAGAGATCTCCCCCCCACCACCAGCGCAGCCTTAATGGACTCGTGGGGCAAGTGCTGTTTATCGATTAGAACCGATGAAGGGGGGTGGCCAGCACCATGCACGGCCACCTTTGTCTCCCCAGTTGGCGATCTTTACAACATCGCACCGGGTACTCGTTTGAGGCCGAGTTGACATAGGGGAGGCCCAGGACCAGGTTCAGATAATTGTCACCGGCGTTGGCCGTGAGCGGAGAATCGATCTTGGGTCGCCGGGTTCGTAGCGCAGCGTGCTAACCACGATACCCAACCACACTCAGATACACACACAGCCCCAAACAAATCCACACAGATCCACACACACACACACAAAGCCCCACAGGACAATGAGCGTACGCATAATCATGTCCACACACACACGCACGGACCCACGGACTCGCATAGCCCCGTGAGAAATCACGCAAATGCACCATATCATACATACGCGACGTCCACGCGTAAAAACATAATTGCACATCTCACACATAGCCACCCGCACATACATGTGACACACATACACACACACAACAGAAGCTCACACACAGGCAGCATAGCTCACACATCTCGCCCAGCATGCCACTCGCAGCATATCTCACACAACCATCTCACAATCAACTCGCATGCCCCATGAGTATAATACACACACCATTCCTCAAAATTATTACCTTGCACACCATGACAGAATGAAAGGCAAAGATCCCCTGAATAGCCTTAACAGACTGTTGGGCAAGTGCTATGAAGGCAGCAAGGTACACAACGGGTGGGTGGCCACAACACCACACCCGGCTCCCCAATGGCGATGTTTATGCATGGCACCAGGTACTCATTTGAGGCTGAGTTGACATAGGTGAGGCCCAAAACCAGTTCAAAAAACAGTCACTGGTGTTGGCCGCAAGCGGGAATCGAACTTGGGTCGCCGGGTTCGTAGCGCAGCACGCTGACCGCCACACTACGGCTCCCCGGGGGTATAGTTCACACACCATCTCTCAAACATGACGATCTTGCACACTCCGACAGCATCTCTCACACACACAACCCCCCAATGGTACAAATCCACCCACAAGTACGCCCCCGCACTCCCGATCACGCAGATGCGGTGGCGGTGGCGCATGCACAAGGGAGTTCGCGCGATCGCCGCGAGCAGAGACAGTGACCACTCGCGCCTTGGTTCGAAGCCTACATGGCCCTACGCCGACCTGTAGTGCGACACTCCGTGCAGCTCCTCGCCGCCGCTCGCCGGCCCCACCGCCTCCGGCTGCACCGCAGCGGCCGCGGGGACCGGCGCCACCACGTCCACCACTCTGGGGGCCCCATCCTGCCCCTCCGGTCCCGGTGGCACGCACGCCTCCTCTGCCGCTTTGACCGCCGACGCTGCACGCAGACAAAGACAAAGGGGGTCCCCCAAGCCCTTACAGCCTTAACAGTGACTTTTGAGACAAGCGCACGCACATGCACGCTACGCGCGCACGTCACGCACGCGCACGGGGTGGGGGCAGAGAACGAGGATCGCGGGAAATCACAGCGCGGCGTCGGAGACATAACCCGGTTAGCGGTGCCCACCGTGGAGCCGCGACATCTCCTGGGGGTGGGGGGGGGGGTGGGGGTCGAGGGCGCCGCCACGGTCCCCTGCTGCGCCGCTGTATTTACAGAGCGAGCGCCACGGCAACAGCTGTTGATGCGAGACTCCCCCCCCCACCGCCCCCCCCCGGGAGCGCTTCATACAATCATTACAATTTGCTCATTACGCATCACGACGACGAAGCTCGCAGGTTTTCATGGAGGCCACGCGGCGGCACGAGGCGCTAACCAAATCAAGGTGGATAATTTAATAGCAGGGGCTCACTTGGGGGTTTTTATGCCTTTCATAAGCCTGATGAGATTAATAAAACCGTACATCAACAAAACTTACTGCCTTCAACTGCTCTTCTTCCAGCAGGGAAAGCGTTTCTGATTACTGTCAGCAGTTCGTGAGCTCGAGATTTGAACACATTTGGGTTGAAAACCAATAAACAAGTGTTAAAATATGCACAGCCGTGTCCGTGGGGGATTGAGCCGACGCTTGTACCAGCAACAGTGTGCGCCTGTGTAAACATTTACTTTCCTGATGCATGGGCCAGGCGCACGGCGCGCGCGAGCCTTGAGGCCGCGCGCACGGTCGCCTGCAGCGTGCACACTCGTGTCTGTGTGTGTGGGTCATCTGCAGCGTGCACACTCGTGTGTGTGTGTGTGGGTCATCTGCAGCGTGTACACTCGTGTCAGTGTATGTGGGTCCATCTGCAGTGTGCACACTCGTGTGTGTGTGTGTGTGGGCACGGTCACCTGCAGCGTGCACATTCGTGTGTGTGTGTGTGTGGGTCATCTGCAGCGTGCACACTCGTGTGTGTGTGTGTGGGTCATCTGCAGCGTGCACACTCGTGTGTGTGTGAGTGTGGGCACGGTCGCCTGCAGCGTGCACACTCGTGTGTGTGTGTGGGCACGGTCGCCTGCAGCGTGCACACTCGTGTGAGTGTGTGGGCACGAGCATCTGCAGCGTGCACACTCATGTGTGTGTGTCTGTGGGCACGGTCACCTGCAGCGTGCACACTCGTGTGTGTGTGTGTGTGTGCGTGGGCACGGTCACCTGCAGTGTGCACACTCGTGTGTGTGTGTGTGTGTGGGCACGGTCACCTGCAGTGTGCACACTTGTGTGTGTGTGTGTGCGTGGGCACGGTCACCTGCAGCGTGCACACTTGTGTGTGTGTGCGTGGGCACGGTCATCTGCAGTGTGCACACTTGTGCGTGTGTGGGCACGGTCGCCTGCAGCGTGCACACTTGTGCGTGTGTGTGCGTGTGCACGAGCATCTGCAGCGTGCACACTCGTGCGCCTGCGTGCGCACGAGCGTCTGCAGCGTGCGCTCTAGCGTCCATCTGCACGAGCATTCGCATCAGCTCCCACACCAAAAGCAGCTCGAGTGAATCTGAGCAGCCGATGCGTGACCACCACCCCGCCCCGCCCCCGGCGCACGCTCACGTAATGCACGGCAGCGCTCCCACGTGTCCGTGCGCGTCTCGACGAAGGGTGCGTTTACGTACCTGCGCGTCCCAACTGATGGCACGTCAACAGAGCCGCACGCAACGACAGGAGAACAATTTTGGTTCATACAGCAGCGTCTAAATGCGATCCGCGTCTCAAGACGCTTTGCAGAAACAGTGGGGATATCTAGTTTATGGAGAGAAAGAGAGAGAGAAAGGCAGTCAGTCAAAGGCAGTCAGTCAAAGGCAGAAGAAAAAAGCAATGTGTTTGAGCCTGCACTTGAATAGGCGGCACAGATTCGACAGCACGGATGGCTGTGGGAAGGGACGGGAATTCGTGCGTATACGGTCACGATCTGGAAGGTGCGTACGCGTGTAAACGCAAGCGTGTTCTTACGCACGTTCATCTCACCTCACGGACCACCGTGCGTACGTACACACGCACGCGCGCGCGTCTAATCTCACCTACGGGCACGAGGCGTGCGTGTCCGCGTGCGGGCGCGGGCGTACACCTGCGTGCGTACACCTGCGTGCGCACACCTGTGTACACACACCTGCCTGCACACACCTGCCTGCACACAGCTGCCTGCACACACCTGCGTGCACAGCGCACGTCTCGTCGTCTCACCGGCAGGCGTGGCAGGTCGGCGCGGCGGGGGGCCGTGCTGCACGGGGCTGAAGCTCAACGGAGCGACGATTTCCGCCGGCGACAGGAAGGAGGAGGTGGAGCAGGGGCTGAGTGGCTGCAGGCGAGGAAGAGGCATCATCATCGTCGTCGTCGTCATGCCCGGCAGGCCTTGGAACACGAAGCCGACGGGAGCGAAGGAGCGGCGCGCCATGCCCTGGCGCCGGCTACTTGCGGGGGCCGCCGCCTCGGGGGTGCGTGCCAACCCCGGCTGAGGCTGGGCTTCCTCTCCGGCCTTGCTGCAGACCCCCGACTCCTCCTCACCGGCTTGGTCCTGCAGGACACGGCACGGGGGGGGGTCACACGCGATACCCGCGAGCCATCCCACCGCAGTGACACTCGCAAGCACGTCACACCGTGCGCGCCGAGTTCGTAGCGCAGAGCGCCAATCCGTTACACCACCGCTCCAGACTACACTACCATGCAACCGTGCATACCAATACGAATACCCGCCATTCGCCACAAAATAATGGTGACGTCACCACGGCACCTGTGGCAGGCCAGGTGCACTTTGAGACCAAGTGAATTATCGGAGGCTCACTGCTTGGAGGTCACGGGACAGACCCAGGTGCCGTGGGTGGGCTGACTGAGATGACGGGCAGATGCACCAGCTGTGCCCCCTACTGTGCCAACTCGCTGAATTTTAGCCGCCCGGCGCTCCGCTGACTGCCCTGAGCGTCGCTCCTCTGCCCCACACTGTTGTTGGAGGGCGACTGCCACCAACTGCCCAATATGTAGACACACGCTTTGAAAACACGTCTAAAAATATCGGCATAAATACACACAGTGTAATCATACGCATAAATACACTGAAGTGTATAAAACACACAATGCACAAACTAACACGCAACAGGTATACGTAAAATATACAAATCATAATATTTATTTATACTGGAGAAATTCACTGAGCCATGAAGCTCTTTTTCCACAGATGTCCAGTCGGGGCGGGTCAGAAAATGACAACAGCAAACATTACAAAAAATATTTTTGAGCTGTAAAGTAAAGGTAAGCAAATTACTGAAAACAAAAACGCAAAATAGAAAAAGCATATGAGCACAAGTTGAAAAAATATATATACCAATTACTGCCGACTTTTTAACACTAAATCCAAGCTTGGGCAAAGAAGAAAAAACACAACAACAACAGTCCCAGATAACAACACAGTCCCTCAATTAAATTGCACACTAAAATGTAACTAACTACACACGGGTAAGGATCAACGTTACAAACCACATTTACAAATATGGTTGTATCCAGCAATAATCTTCTGCTTGAGGATATTTTCCCGAAGAAAGATTTACGATGGTCAAAGGGAGGAGGAAAGCGCGGTTGTTCCAAAACTTTGGTGCTGCAAACGCGCAGAGATGTGCCGGGATGATTTAAGTGGTACTCGCGAACCCACACACGCGTGTGCACTTTTCTCAGCACGGTGGTATTCGCGAAACCCACACGCGTGTGCACTTTGTAGTTAGTAGTTTGTCCCTGTACGCGTGGCGGCTTTCACCTGGGCACTTTGGCTTCCTCTCGAATACAAAGCACCAATTCAAAATGAGGAAATGGCCAAATATCCTTGTTCAAGGTCAGCGAGCCTCGAGACCGAGCACGGCTTTGCTGGATAAAGAAATGACCTCGTGAGACTGGGTGCACGCCGGGAGCATTCAACGCACACCGAACACAATGCATTGGCACCTTAAGCCTCGGTGAAGCAACATGGGTGGGCAAGCTGGAGGCATTAAACGATAAACAATTTTTATTTTACCAGGTAAGGCCCACTGAGCTAAAATCCACGCGACCAATGGGGAGAACATGCAAACTCCAGGAGTTAACTACCTCGCCTGGTATACAGGAGGTTCGTGGGTTCGATCCTGACCCCGACGCCTGTATAGTTGGGAGTTTACATGATCTCCCCGCGGGCGAGTACATTTTTCTCCGGCTCCACCCGTGTTTCCCTCCGCATTTAGAAACAAGCGTTTTAGAGTATTTTGCTGCTTGTACATTTCCACGCAATACTTTATTGAGCCATCACTCGTGATGGTCACGGGTCCCTTCTGGTAAAGAGCTATGCAGCAGCTTAGTGGGCCTTACCTGGTAAAGTAGAAACATTTGTTTGTAGTTTTAACCGTCGTAAAAATAGACGACAGTTAACGTGCATATTTAGACCAGGACACTCCACGCTGGAGCAGCTCGCTCGTACGGACGACGTCGCAGCATCTTCCGTGACACTTGCACGGCACGGGGCGAGCACGCACGCACGCGCTTCGGTTACTCCCACCGCGGTGATTGCCGCACATCTCAGGAATTGAACCATTGATTTTGCGCAAACAGCCTCGACGGCGAGCGCCTCGCCGCCGAGGCTGTGCAACCGCAGCTTGACGAATGCGATGCGACGGCCGGACTAACCTCGTGAAGAACCTCGTTCAGCTTGACGGCGATCCGTGTCCCTGCAGACACACGCAGGAGGAGAAGCCGGGGACGTATTCCAAGAGGAGCAAGAGACAGACAGCCATCACCCACGCGTGCCCAAGGGAGTGTCACATTGACCCTCCTCCGCCTCCCCTCCGGTGCTAAATTCAAACCCGGCATCTGCTTCGACCGCCGTTGACAAATCGATGGCGCGTGCGCGACGCGGACTCTGGCTTACCGCGTCGGGCGGCGAAAGGAGCCGGCGCCGCCGCCGCTGCCTCCTCCTCCTTTGCTCTCAAGCGAGTCGCACGGCCAGTCGCTCCTGAAATGAACGCGCACGCATGTGCGTACCCCGCACGTGTTCACACGTGCACGAAGGTGCACGCACGGGTACGCAAATGCACGCCGGCACGCACAAAGGCACAGGTGTTTTGACCGACCAGATTTTGGCGAGCGAGAATCTCTCCAGGCTTACGAGGGCTCCTGAACTCGGCCTAACCCAGCTGTGGGGGGGCTGCGGTGGCAAGATATCTTCTACCTCGCCTGGCACATCGGAGGTCGTGGGTTCGATCCCAACCCTGACGACTGCTGTATATTTAGAGTTTGCGTGTTCTCCCCGTGGTTGCGTGGATTTTTCTCCGGGTCCTCCGGTTTTGCCCCTCCACATTTAGAGTCTATAGCTGCTATAAATTTGCACGTGATAAGCCACTTCATCGGGCTATAATTTGTGGGGCGAAGTGTGGCCTTTCCTGGCAAAAATCCAAGTAGATCAGTTTCGTGTGAAACGGCTGGAGATTATTTTCTTTGACTTCGTCATTTTGTAACGCTTGTTTGGCGTGGTGGTCCCGGGCCTCCACAATGGACACTCACCGACACCAGCGACGGTTCGGCCCTTGCCATCCGGCTTGGCCTCCTGGGCTGGCGCGCCCACCCTGGGGGCAGCCTTTCTAGTTTGGGCAGCAGCCGTCCTCGGAGCCTGTTCACACAAAAAGACAAAGAGACTCCCCTCTATAGCCTTGACAGACTGTTGGGGCAAGTGCCGCGAAGCAAGCAGCGCCAATGAAGACCGGCACGGCACACGGAGGGGGTGGGGTGTGGTCAGCAACCACTCCCCCAGTGGTGATGTTTTTACACACTGCACCAGGTACTCGTTTTAAAGGCCGAGTCGACCTAGGGGAGGCCCATGACCGCTTCAGATAATGCTCACTGGTGTTGGCCGTTCACACACACGCGCAAGCGCGTGCACCTGCACGGGTCGCATGCAGACAACAACGAGGCGCCTTTCGCCGCCGCTTTGCGGGCGCTTGGTGGGCGACGCCATCCGTCGCGAGACTGCGCGACGCGCCGAGCCTCTAGCGGAAAGTCGCCTCATTATTAATATTAATTCGCAAATTAAAACAAATAGCTCCGTTTAGAGAGTTTCACATATTGCACGCTTTTATTGAATTAAGTCGCAGTAGAAATCACAAAGTAATTGGTAATTAGCTTCGAGCAATTTGCACACTTCAGATTATTTGCACCTCTGAAAGCCCCATTCACGGGGAGGCTAAATCACGACGTCAACTGCGGCGGACGTGGACCCGCAGGAATCCTCCTCGCTCCACCCGGTGCAATCGCTCCCCTACACCAGCCATTCCCCCCCCCCAGTCCCCCCAAGCCCACCCCCTCCACCCCCCCACAGGGCCACAGAGCCCGCGCACCCGCAATGCATCACACGTCTGAGCATGGAGGCAGCCCATTTCACGGGGCTGTGCCCAGCACACGCCACCAAATAAACGCTCGCACAGGGAGGGAGGGGCGCTGGGCAAGCCAAGGCTGGGTCGAGTTCAACTCCACTTGGTAAAAAACAAAAAACAAACCAGCCCTCCCCCCCCGGCCACATGGACACAGATTCCACGCATCAAAGAGAGCGCCTCCTTGTAAGGTTAATTGAAAATTTCACCTTTAGACGTACGACATTGCGCCACCGCCATCGTCTGCCTCGCTTATTACACATGTCTCTCCACCCCCCCCCCCGACCACAAGCTGGGGAGGGGGGAGCGGATTACAACCACACGTGCCGCGTCAAGTGCCCGCACGCGCTAGAGGACTCACCGGCCCGTGCCGTGCGCCCGCCATCCCCGGCGCCTGCTGCCGTGCCATGGAGCGGGTCGTGATACGGGGGACGACGGCGCTCACCAGGGTCCGCTTCTGCAAGCAAGGGGGGGCCCGCACGCAACACATTGCAAGACCGCGGCGAGAGGCGCGCGTTAGCGACATCGCGGCCGCCCAGGGCAACTCGGACGCACACGCACAGACACACACACGCACGCGCGCAGAAAGAAGACTCCCGACAGACGAGCGGTGGCCAGAATGCATTGGCTGAGTGGGAGGCGATGGGTGACAGGGGAGCGGAGTAATAAAGCAGGATGAGCTCCGGTAAGCAGCCGTGTCAAGAGCTGTGCCGTGTCGCCCCATCGCACCGCTCACTATAAACGCCGCGGCAAGTGATGGCCAGTCGCTCACAATCTCCTTCAGTCAGGCAAAACTGAAACGTGCACATCTGCTCGCACGCTCACACTCCCTCGCTCACAAATCGCATTCACACACACACTCGCTCACACATGCAATCACTCTTTCACACACACACATTGAAACGTACGTGCACAAGCCCTCAAATATTCACAATCTCCTTGACAAACAGGCAAATATCGCCTGTTTAGCCTCAGGCGCTCACATTGAAACACTCACCCATATAAATGCTCTCAAAATCTCAGGCATGCACACACGAACATATCCACATTGAGTGTTACAGTGGCGAGATGTTAACCACTTTGTCTGCTGTACAGGAGGTGGGTGGGTTCCATCCCGACCAAGACGCCTGTACATTTGGAATTTGTATGTCTCTCCCCTCGCATGGATTTTTCTCTGGGTCCTCCGGGTCTCCCCTCCACATTGAGAAACATGCGTTTAGAGTATTTGGGCTGCTAGAAATGTCCACGCAATAAGCTACTTCATTGAGCTATCATTCATGGTCAGGTTGCTTCTGAAAAAGAGCTGTGAAGCTCGGTGGGCCTTACCCGGTAAAATAAAAAATAGTTTCGATTTTAAAGTTTTCAGTGACAAAGATTCCCCCCCCCCCCACCATGAATGTAGCACTTCTCGATTTAAAGCTTTCGTGACTGCAGGGATTCATCTTCTTGGTTCTTTCGGTAAAGTCACGTAGAAGGGAAGTAATAAAATAATAAAAATAAAACATAATTATTTTTAAAAATTATTACTTCCCTTCTACGTGACTTTACCAAAAGAACCAAGAAGATGTAGCACTTCTTTCGCACCTGTCGAGGGGCGCACAGCTCAAGAGGGGGATTGTACGGCCAGGATCGCCAACAGCCGCCTTCATCTCCCCGGTGCCGATGTTGACGCATCACACCGGGTAATCGCTTAATGCGGAGTCGACCTCGGTGAGGCACAGAACCAGTACAGAAAATCACCGCCGCCTTTTGCCGCTTACCCACAACACAGTGGCAGCGTTGTGGTGAGCGCACGGCGCTGGGCACCTGGCAGGTCACGGTAACAACATCGGTGACGAATCTCTGAAGCGCTCCTTGGCAACCTCGATGTCAACTCAGCCTGGTGCCGTGCGGAAACGTCGACAACGTGGAGACAAAGGCGTGGTGGGGGTCCACACCACCCCCGTTTGCGTCCCGTGCCGGCCTTAATAGGTACTCGTGAACAACACTTGCCCCAACAGCCTGCATGGCTATACGGCGGATCTTTGTATTGGTCACACACACGCACACACCTGACACACAAAAACAAAGATCGTCCGTATAGCCTTAACAGAAGATTGGGGCAAGTGCTGTTAGCGAATAGCAGCTATGAAGGCCAACACGGCACACGAGGGGGTGGGCGGCGAGAACCACGCCCAACCCCCTCCACCTCCCGAGTGACGATGTTCATACACCGCACCAGGTACTCATTTGAGGCCGAGTCGACCTTGCGGAGCCCCAGGACCGGTTCAGATAATCATCACTGTCAGTGAGCGGGAATCGAACTCGGGTCGCTGGGATCGTAGGGTAGCGCACGAACCGTTGCACTACCTTAATTCTAGATTTGAAGCTTTCGTGACTGCAAGGATTCATATTCTTAGGTTTTTTCGGTAAAGGCACGTAGGTAAAACAATTTAAATTAATAAAAGTAAAATAAAAAATGAAATAAAAAAATCACGACGTTTCGGAGGCAACACAAGTCTCCGTCATCAGGTGAGACCGTCACAGCTAGATTTACTGTCTCAAGTGAGGCATCACGTTGCCATACATACCGCTCCCCGGCACACAACCCGCTCTCTCACACTCACACATCCGCGGGCTTCTCCCTGCTACAGTCCTTCACACTCTAACACCACCATGGGCGACTTTAAATTGTTCCCGTGATGAATGGTAATTTATGCCCTTTCCCTTCAGTGCTTTATTACAATGCAGGAAACCGTAGCTCCAGATCGACGTTCCACTTTCATTTACAGGTCTTCTGGGTAAATTTGTTAATGGTATTGACTCAAAACATCAGCGTCACTCAAACAATGGCCACAAGAGAACAGTCTAATCTATAACACGGCCGCACACATTGCATCTGACAAAGAGGACGTGCACAACAGCAACTTGAACAATTAATACGAAAAAACCCCACTAAGTCTCCAACAGACATTATAGCCAATTAGCGGATCTCTTTCAAGGCACTTTAGGTGCTCACCGCGAGCGCGCCCCTGTGCTTTCTGCCCCGCGTTGCTTCTTTAATGGCAGTGCCTTAATGTGATAATGAGCACCGCGCTGCGAGAGGCAGAAACTGTTCGCGCTTTCATTTCTCCTGCTCCAGGCACTCGAGAGGAGAGGATCACTGGATGATGTTCCAGAGGGCGGCCATGGATCACAGCGGATAAAATCCATACGCACGCGCGAGCGGGCAGGCACTGGTGCGACTTCTCGCGGATACAGAAATGCAGGGACAATCGCACTCTTGCTTTCACAAAGACAAAGATTCCCCCGTGTAGCCTGAACAGGCTGTTGGGGCAAAGGCTGTTAGCGAGCACCTATGAAGGCCGCCACGGCACACGAGAGGGTGGATGGCCAGCACCACGCCCAGACGCCTTGGTCTTTCCAGTAGTTATGTTTACACACTGCGCCAGGTACTCATTTGGGGCTGAGTCGACCTAGAGGAGGCCCATGACCAGTTCAGATAATCGTCACTGGTGTTGGCCGTGAGCGGGAATCGAACTCCGGTTCGTAGCGCAGCGCGCGCTAACTGCTACACTCCCGCTCTCTGCACACACACACACACTTGCTTTCACACACTCACACAGGCTGTAATTCGCATAGGCAGGAAAACGCACACATACACGCACACGGGGACAATTTAACCTGATGGCGGGACCCCGGGGTCCCGAATAAATGGAAGTATAAATTGTAATTAATTCATTCTTTTTTGCCGACTGTCCCACCGCGCACATAAGCGCCACGACCCACCAGAAATCAATCCTCTCGTTCTTCATCAAGCACCCGTCGTTGCCAAAATTGCCGTAGTCATAAACAAAACTTTGAAACTTTGATTAGCGCATCGTGTAGAGCTCGTTGAGAGGAATAGATTGCCGTGTCGTTCGCCTTCAACAGACATAAAATGACGTCGCAACGCAGTTTATGCGATGGCTGAGGGCTTATGGGACCCCGGGGTCCCGCCATAAAGTTCAATTGCAGACCCTCACACATGTAGGCAGGGTCAAACTAAACAAACATTTTTTTTATTTGACCTGACCACAAACGATAGCCCAACGAAGTGGCTTATCGCGTGGAAATTTATTTCAGTCAAATATTCTAAACGAACGTTGATTCGAAACGTGGAAGGAAAAACCGGACGACCACGGGGAGAGAGACACGCAAACTCCAAATATACAACAAGCGTCAGGGTCGGGCTCGAAGGTTGCCCCACAGGGCAGCGAGGCTATGCGACTATGTCACCTTCACCAACCCCTCCATGACCGACGTGGCGTGGGCAAAGCCCTTAATCCAGTAGTTAAATTACAAAAGTAGAGGCTGTACACACAGCGGGTCACTTGATTGAAACTTTCAGAGGGGGGGGGGGGGGGGCGCAAATTAAATTCCAGCCGAGACTAAAAGAAATAGGTTTTTTCCCGCGCATTTATTTCAGATGAAAAACCCATTACCCCACACTTGTTTACGCGCTGCGTTCAATATGGAATACATTCAAATGTGTCTAAAATAACAAACAAATGAAAAATAAAACGTAAGGATTATTTATTTACAAACATGCACTCGTCAAAATTCTCACAATGGCAGTCTGAAAATGTCTGGGGGAGTGGACAAACTTCCCCTTAAGACCTCCCGAGGTGTTCCTCTGGCCATACACAGAAATAGCAGAGTCGGGCTGCTCAACTTGTTAGGCAATCAATTTCTATGCAGATTATCGGTTCGATTACGCAACCCATCGGTTAACACGTGTGCCGCTGGACGGGAGGTCATTGGCCGGGCTTGGTGGCGCCATCGGCATTATCAACAGCGCCACGTGACTTGCATGGGGGGCAGGGCGGCTGCTATTTTTTAAGAGGCCCAAATAACCGAGCACAAAAGCGCGAGTCGGATTGTAATTTCCATCGATGAATCGACTCGATCCCCTCCACATCTCGGCTCTATCGCACGGATCAAACCGATCACCTCGCCGCGGTAGCGAGATATCATCGATCTCGCCTGGTACGCAGGAAGTCGTGTGTTCGGTCCAGACCCTGACAACGCCTGTGGTATATTCGGAGTTTGCATGTTCTCCCCCCCGTGGTCGCGTGGATTTTTCTCCAGATCCTCCGGTTTTTCCCTCCACATATAAAATCAACATACTTTCAAATTATTTGGCCGCTATTAATTCCCATGTTTTAAGCCACTATGTCGAGCTACCATTTGTGCCAGGATGCTTCTGAAAAAAACCTCAGTGGGCCTCACCTGGTAAAATACAAATTGTTTAGTTCAGCTCTGTCGCATGGATCACGCGGCGCCGTATCTCGCGGCCCTTACCGCCGCCGTCGTCGTCGTCGTCGTCTTGGCGATGGCCGGCGGCCGCGTCGCCGCGGCGATGGTGACCCCGGGCGGCAGGGAGACCAGGTAGCGCGTCGGGCTCGCCTTCACGTGCTTCACCACAAACGTCTTCTTGCTCAGCGCCTGGCGCCTACGCAGCTCCTTCTCCTCCTTGTACTTGGCGAGGCGCTCCCTGCGCAGGAGCTGGGAGCTCTGCTCGCCTGTCCCCACGCACGCAGAATCAGGAACTTTACTTACGCAGGAGCAATCTGATGAGCTATGAAGCTCTCATGGGTTCAGAACGTTACAACAACAAAACATCTTCTTGGTTCTTTCGGTAAAGTCACGTAGAAGGGAAATAATAAAATTATAAAAATAAAACATTATAAAATACAATTCTCACAGGGCAGCGAGGCGATGCGGTGGGGCGCATATGAGAATTGTATTTTATTATGTTTTAGTTTTATTATTTTATTTTTTCCTTCTATGTGACTTTACCAAAAGAACCAAGAAGATGAATCCCTGCAGTCACAAAAGCTTTAAATCGAAACAACAAAACAAGACAAAGTCAGAAGTGCAAAGTATTGGAAAGGTAAACAAATTCCTTAAAAATATACACATAAAACTAAACAATTTTGTTTAACTACTGGGTAAAGCTCACTGTGCTGTTAACTTATTTTTTCAGAAGGAACCTGGCCATCAGTTTAACACGTAGGCTTTCGCGACCAATATTATTCATAATCAACGATTTTTGGATTTAGATTGCGTTATTTATAAATGTGTCGTAACCCTCCACCAGTGCGGCCTTGAAGCGTATTATTAAATAAGATACATTACAATTCCTTATAAGGGAAACAAACACCGATTACTAATGTAGCATAATCACAATAAAACACATTCCAAATGATTACTAATCTACAACTCGCATCGTAACAATAGCCTGATTACTAATCTAGTATATAATTACAATAACTCCCCCCTCAAATCTTTGCACCTGATGAGTTAATGATGACGTCACTCTGCTGCTGCTCTATATAAGAACGGGAGACACAGCAGAGCCTCACCATTCTGGCGAATTGCCCGATGATGCTGGATGCAATTACCAGCGAAACGTCGTACTCAAATTGTAAATGTTGTGGTTTCGCGCTTCAACACACCGGTGGGCTAAAGCAGTGAACTAATTTGTCTTTTGTCAACGTGAGACTTTTTTACTGATTGGCCGTGTCGGGTGGTGGAGGGTTACAACACATTTATAAATAACGCGATCTAAACCCAAAAATCGTTGATTATGAACCTGGCCGTCACAAACGATAACTCAACAAAAGCAGCTCATCACGCGGAAAGGCGCAAAGGAGACGCACGGAGGAGATGCGCTGCCCGCGTGTCGGGTGGTCGGCGGGCTCTCCACACCCAGCAGCCACGGCTGCCGCCAGGAAAGCAAAGCGCCGTTAACGGGCACCCGTCAATTCTCCTTCGCGCAAGGCAGTCGCGAAGGCGCCGTGGTTCAGAAAGTCGAGGGTCGCGTGCTGGTAGAGTGGCGACGTTGCCACGTGGTTACAAATGACACCAAAAGAGCACCAGGTGGTCATGCGAGTCCGAGCTGGCCTCGAAAAGACCGGGGACGAGTTCGGACATGGCTGTTGTCGCAAGGCACATTTTGCCACAATCACCCGCTGTCGCGGCTGAACATGGCCTGGAATCAAACTCGGATCACTGGATGTCGTAGTGCAGCAGGATGGCTAACCACTGTGCCAATGCTCTGCTACAAAGATCCCCTGTATAGCCTTACCAGACTGTTAGGGCAAGTGCTGTTAGCGATCACCTATGAAGGCTGGCACGGTATATGAGGGGGTGGGGTAGCCAACACCAGTGGTGATGCTTACACACCGCACCAGGTACTCATTTGAGACCGAGTCGACTTAGTGGAGGCCCATGACCTGTTCAGATAATCATCACTGGTGTTGGCGTAGGCGGGAATCGAACTCGCGTCGCCGGGTTCGTAGAGCAGCGTGCTAACCGCTGCGCCACCGCTCCCCACAACACACACACACACACCCGGGTGTGTGCTTGTGTGTTCAGTGTGTACGTGAGCTTCAGTCGTGTCCTTGTCCTCGCCTCACCCGGCCTGAGAGAATCCGTGCCCTTACACATCCTGCCACCGAGCGCCTCAAAATACATAGTGGCCGGGAGGTCCGATTCAGCACACAACCGATAGCCAGCTTGCCAACACATAATCCCATCACAACGTACGCGAGAGCACGTGCCCTCAGGACACCAGACAGACAGCACTCTCCACCCTGATGCTGCCGACGCTGCTGCTGCTAATTTGCAATTCATTCTCCAAATTTCGCCAAATAAGTTGGCGAGGGAGCTCCGTGAGGGATGGGGAGGGTGGGGGGGGGGCTACCTGTAGGCTTGCCGCTCTCCCCTTGGGGGGCCACGTTGACGCTCCTCTCGGCGAGCGGGGAGTACCCCCGGCGGCGTTCCAACAGGATGGTGGCACGACGGTCGCGTCTCCCCACCGCCTTCTCCTGCGCCAGGCGCACGCGTAGCTCGGCCACGGGGCCACGCTTCTTGTGCAGCCCGGCGTGCGACGACGGGATGATGCTGCCACCGTTCCTCGTGACGCGCCCACTCGCCATCATGATCACTGCAGCGGAGACGAACAACAACAACAATACGTAATAGTGTATTTTTTAAAAAAAAATTAAACACGCTTTTATGAAGTGTGCTAGTAGTAATGGAAGAACTCCACGACTCCAGGATGTGGCCCCCGAAGCTTGTCATAACGGAAGGGTCAGTTTACCATGGGCAATTGCCGAAACATCTATATATATAAAATCGTTCATGTCTGTCTGTCTGTGTGTGTGTGTGTGGACTTTGGCCCATACGCACTTTCATTGGACGGCGGTTGCCCCTGGCAACGGCTAGCCACGCCTTCGCCGCTTTCATTGGACCTGGCAACGGCTAGCCACGCCTTCGCCAAGGGCTGCAGTTTCATTGGACGGCGGTTGCCCCTGCCAACGGCTAGCCACGCCTTCGCCACTTTCATAAGCTCCGTATTTAATTAAATAATAGACATTACACAGTATTGTTGGAGCGCTAGGTGGGGGGGAAGGAACGCCACCCGTACCCTGCCTCTTCCAAGCCGACAATTTTAGGCGAGGCCGCAGGCTTTGCACGCTACTAGGCCTCGACACCCACCACGCCACTCTGAGGTAAATTCATCAAAGTTTTTCCTACTCTTCACTACACCCCCACCACAATGTGTGCTATTAATATTACTTTTAAACCCAACGCGCCAACAATCGATTACTTTAATGTTCACTGTACAAATACTCATTAAGCTGGGTGAGCGTACTGTCAGTCTATCATGTACACTGTAGCCTGCTTATTAAGCTCGGTGAGCGTACTGCCACTCTATCATGTACACTCTAGCCTGCTTATGAAGCTGAGTGCGTGTACTGGCAGTCTATAATGTGGACTCTTGCCTGGTTATTATAATCGATTCTTTATATGTTCTTTGTACAAACAGTCATTAAGCTGCTTGAGCGACCCCAGTTCGATTCCAACTCACGCCCACCACCGCTGACGATTATTTGAAACGGACCTGGCCCTCCCCTAGGTCCACTCAGCCTCAAAAGCGTAACTGCTGTCGTGTGTGAACATCGTCACTGGGGAGACAAAGGCGGCGGGGCATCGTGGATCCAAGTCCCGGGCGAAGCCGGGTCATGTGTATGTGTGTTTGTGTTTATGTGTATGTCTGTGTGTCTCTATGTATGTGTGTATGTATGTGTATGTATGTGTTTGTGTGTATGTGTGTGTGTATGTATGTGGGTTTTTTTTTATGTCTTTATGTGTATGTCTGCGTGTCTCTATGTATGTGTGTGTCTATGTATGTGTGTGTATGTGTGTGTATGTATGTGTGTTATGTGTCTGTCTGTGTCTGCATGTATGTGTGTGTGTATTGTGTATGTGTTTGTGTGCATGTATGTGTGTGTTTGTGTGCATGTATGTGTGTGTTTGTGTGTATGTGTATGTCTGTGTGTATGTGTTTGTGTGTTTACGCTCGCATTACACAAATGTGTTGCTGGTCTAAGGCGTTCCTCGCACAGCATTGCCGCTTTATTATTTCAGTCGTTTACTGCCTTACGCACCCTGAAAGTCGTGTGTGTCTGCAGCAAGCGCGTGTATGTGTACCTATGGACGCGCGCGCGTGTGTTGTGTAGGGGGAACGGTAGTGTAGTGCTTAGCGTGCTGTGTGTGTGTGTGTCTGTCTGTGTCTGTCTGTGTGTGTCTGCGTGTGTCTGTGTGTGTGTCTGTGTGTGTGCGTGTGTGGTGTGTGGGGAGCGGTAGTGTAGTGCTTAGCGTGCTGTCTGTGTGTGTGTGTGTGTGTCTGTCTGTGTCTGTCTGTGTGTGTCTGCGTGTGTCTGTGTGTGTGTCTGTGCGTGTGTGGTCTGTGAGGAGCGGTGGGTGTAGTGCTTAACGCTACGCTGCGCTACCAACCCGGCGAACCCAGTTCCATTCCCGCTCACGGCCACCACCGGTGACGATTATTTGAACCTCCCCTAGGTCCACTCAGCCTCAAACGAGTAACTGGTGTGGCGTATTAACATCGGCACTTGGGAGACAAAGGCGGCTGGGCGTGGTAGATCCAAGTCCCGGGCGAAGCCGGGTCATGTGTATGTGTTTATGTGTATGTCTGTGTGTCTGTATGCATGTGTGTTTGTATGTGTGTGTATGTGTTTGTGTGTATGTCTGTGTGTGTATGTATGTCGGTTTTGCCGCCGTGGTGGATCCAAGTCCCGGGTGAAGCCGGGTCATGTGTATGTGTTTATGTGTATGTCTGTGTGTCTGTATGCATGTGTGTTTGTATGTGTGTGTATGTGTTTGTGTGTATGTCTGTGTGTGTATGTATGTCGGTTTTGCCGCCGTGGTGGATCCAAGTCCCGGGCGAAGCCGGGTCATGTGTATGTGTGTATGTGTTTATGTGTATGTCTGTGTGTCTGTATGCATGTGTGTATGTATGTGTGTGCATGTGTTTGTGTGTATGTATGTGTGTGTGTATGTATGTGGGTTTTTTTGTATGTGTTTATGTGTATGTCTGCGTGCCTGTATGTATGTGTGTATGTACGTCTGTGGATGTGTTCGTGTGTATGTATGTGTGTGTCTATGTATGTGTGTGTATGTGTTTCTGTGTTTGTATGTGTGTGTATGTATGTTATGTGTCTGTCTGTGTGTCTCCATGTATGTGTGTGTGTATTGTGTATGTGTTTGTGTGTGTTTGTGTGTTTACGCTCGCATTACACAAATGTATAATGCGGGTCTAAGGCGTTCCTTACACAGCATTGCCGCTTTATTATTTCAGTCGTTTACTGCCGTATGCACCCTGAAAGTCGTGTGTCTGCAGCAAGCGCGTGTATGTGTACCTATGGACGCGCGTGCGTGTGTTGTGTAGGGGGAACGGTAGTGTAGTGCTTAGCGTGCTGCCTGTGTGTGTGTGTCTGTGTGTGTGTGTCTGTGTGTGTGTCTGTGTGTGTGTCTGTGTGTGTGTCTGTGTGTGTGCGTGTGTGGTGTGTGGGGAGCGGTAGTGTAGTGGTTAGCGTGCTGTCTGTGTGTGTGTTTCTGTCTGTGTGTGTCTGCGTGTGTCTGTGTGTGTGTCTGTGTGTGTGTCTGTGCGTGTGTGGTGTGTGAGGAGCGGTGGGTGTAGTGCTTAACGCTACGCTGCGCTACCAACCCGGCAAACCCAGTTCGATTCCCGCTCACGGCCACCACCGGTGACGATTATTTGAACCTCCCCTAGGTCGACTCTGCCTCAAACGAGTAACTTAACTACTGTAGCGTATTAACATCGCCACTGGGGAGACAAAGGCGGCCGGCCGTGGTAGATACAAGTCCCGGGCGAAGCCGGGTAGTACAGCTAGTAACATATAAAAATGAATGTTTACAAATATATTTTTATGATAGAATATGGTCTTGCCATCAGTATGACATAAGTATACCAAGTTTGCAGTCGATACCACATTAGGAAGTGGGTTAAAATTGAGTTACAAGATTTGAGGATATGACAACAAGACAGTGAGTTCATAGAAAGTGTGTAAAAAGAGAGTTTAAAAGTTTTAGTTTTTTTTTATGATGGAATATAGTATTGTCATTAGTATGACATAAGTATACCAAGTTTACAGTGGATACCACATTGGGAAGTGGGTTAAAATTGAGTCAAGATTTGAGGATACGACAACAACAACAGAGTTAAATAAAAGTGTGTAAATAAATAAATGAGCCCACGCCCCCCCCGTTATAGCCTCAACAGACTGTAGGGGCAAGTGCTGTTAGCGAGCACCTATAAAGGCCGGCACGGCACACGAGGGGGTGGGTGGCCAGTACCATGCCCGGCCGCCTTTGTCTCCCTAGTGGCGATGTTTATACATCTCACCAGGTACTCATTTGAGACTGAATCGACCTAGGGGAGGACCAGTACCTGTTCGGACAATCGTCACTGGTGTTGCCCGTGTGGGAATCGAACTCGGGTCACTGGATTAGTAGCGCAGTGCGCTAACCGATACGCCACCGCTCCCTACGACCACGCATACTACCATGATACAAAGACAACGATCCCCCGTGTAGCCTTAACAGACTGTAGGGGCAAGTGCTGTTAGCAAGCACCTATGAAGGCGGGCACGGCACACGAGGGGGTGGGTGGCCAACACCACGCCCGGCCGCCTTTGTCTCCCTAGTGGCGATGTTTACACACTCAGCCTCAAATGAGTACCTGGGTGCGATGTGTAAACAGGTACTCATTTGAGGCCGAGTCGACCTAGGGGGGCCCAGGACCGGTTCACATAATCGTCCCTGATGTTGACCGTGAGCGAGAATCGAACCCGGGTCGCCAGGTTTGTAGCGCAGTGCGCTAACCACTACACCACCGCTCCCCACCATGATACACGACCGCGCATACACACGCAGACGATGTGAACACACATCTCTATCAGCGTGAACACACAAGTGTATTCAAACACATAAATACAATACGCTCACCTCAACTCCTCACCACGTATCGCTCCTCACCGTTACGACCGACGACGCAACCCTCGGTAACGAAGTCGCCGAGTAGTTCAAATTTCGTCAAACTCAATTCCTATTGGACGATGGCGCCGGCGTCGTCACTCGCCCGGGGAGTCAAATTCTGCGCGGTGATTGGTCGGAGACGAAAGACATCCGAGGAGGCGGAGCCCGTTGGGGTCACGCCACTTTCTCGCGTTCCCATTGGTCCATTCAAACTGATCGTTAACGCCCCCCGACCCCTGACAATCCCGCCTATTCTCCTAGCCCCGCCCCTCACCAGCGCCCCCCCCTTAGCCCCTCCCCCTCCTAGCCCCTCCCCCTCCTAGCCCCCCCCCCTTAGCCCCGCCCCCTCCTAGCCCCCCCCCCTTAGCCCCTCCCCCTCCCCCCCCTTAGCCCCTCCCCCTCCTAGCCCCCCCCTATCCCCAGTCGCCCTCCACAGCAACAACCGAGGGCAAGAGGAGCGAGGCTCACAACAACGGGCGGAGCGCCGGGCGGATAAAGTGACACGAGTAGGCACACTGGGTGGGTGGGAGTGGTGGGGGGGGGGGTATTGGTGGGGGGGGTATTGGTGGGGGGTGGGGGTTATTGGCGGGGGGGGGGGGTATTGGCGGGGGGGGGGTATTGGCGGGGGGGGGGTATTGGTGGGGGGGGGGTATTGGTGGGGGGGGGGTATTGGTGGGGGGGGGTATTGGTGGGGGGGGTATTGGTGGGGGGGGGGTATTGGTGGGGGGGGGGGTATTGGTGGGGGGGGTATTGGTGGGGGGGGGTATTGGTGGGGGGGGGTATTGGTGGGGGGTGGGGGGTATTGGTGGGGGGGGGGTATTGGTGGGGGGGGGATTGGTGGGGGGGGTATTGGTGGTGGGGGGTATTGGTGGGGGGTATTGTGGTGGGGGGGTATTGGTGGGGGGGGGTATTGGTGGGGGGATTATGGCGGGGGGGGGTATTGGCGGGGGGGGGGTATTGGTGGGGGGGGGGTATGGTGGGGGGGGTATTGGTGGGGGGGGGTATTGGTGGGGGGGGGGGTTATTGGCGGGGGGGGGGGTATTGGTGGGGGGGGTATTGGTGGGGGGGTATTGGTGGTGGGGGGGGTATTGGTGGGGGGGGTATTGGTGGGGGGGGGTATTGGTGGGGGGATTATTGGCGGGGGGGGTATTGGCGGGGGGGGTATTGGTGGGTGGGGGTATTGGTGGGTGGGGGGGGGGTATTGGTGGGGGGGTGGGGGTGCACAGCTGATGCATCTTCCAGTCGTTTCAGTCAACCTATAGCACCTGGGTCTGTCCCGCGACCTCCTTGCCCAGCAGTGAGCCTTCCGACACTTCAAGCGACTGCCTCAAAGTGCACCTAGCCTGGCACAAGGCGCCGTGGTGACGCCACTGCTACTTTGTGAATGGCGGCTGCTGTTGTTGTTGTTGTTGGCCAGGTCTCAATAGCGACTCTATTGACAGAGGCCACACACGTGTTGGTTGGGTGTGCGTCTTATTTTCCGGAGCGTCTTGTAATCCGGAAAATTCGACCGCGTGAACCATCATCCATCCCTTCTTGCCCCGTTCCCTGCCCAGTACACACACAGTACACACCGTGTACACAGTACACACGCAGTTACGTTACACACGCAGTATACGTTACACACACAGTACACGTTACACACGCAGTACACACAGTACACCTTACACACGCAGTACACACACAGTACACGTTACACACACAGTACAGATGCAGTACACGTTACACACGCAGTACACAGTACACGTTACACACGCAGTACACACACAGTACACGTTACACACAGTACAGATGCAGTACACGTTACACACGCAGTACACACACAGTACACACGCAGTGCACACACAGTACACGTAGTACACACGCAGTACACACACGTAGTACACACGCAGTACACGTTATACACACAGTACACACACGTAGTACACACGCAGTACACACACAGTACACGTTACACACACAGTACACACGCAGTACACGTTACACACACAGTACACGCAGTACACGTTACACACAGTACACACACGTAGTACACACGCAGTACACACACAGTACACGTTACACACACAGTACACGTTACACACACAGTACACACGCAGTACACGTTACACACGCAGTACACACGCAGTACACACACAGTACACACACAGTACACATACACACAGTACACCCACACACAGTACACACGTTACACACAGTACACACACAGTACACACGCACATTACGCATCACGATGTTGTCCCACGCCCGACCGCATAGCCGCCTTACGAGTCAATTCACACCGCACGGGTTCGCAGCCCCAGGGCTCGGACCCCCGCGGCGTTTTTGTCGGACCCCTTTTGAGGTTACTTATTAAGGAAACCACCGTCTCGATTCAACACTAGTGGCGTTGGCGGATTTTGAAATATTAAAGGGTGTGTTTGTTACCGAAATCGAAAAAAAATGCTCTTGTTATTTTGGTTGCAGACCCCTGGGTGTTATACGCGAAATCGGCACAAACCGAACCCGCATAGAGGGTGGAGGGATCTGTATAGAAGCACAATATATGCAGATTGCTGTGATGATAATTGTCCTCCAAGACTGCCAGTTTGTAAAAGAACCTCCACCGTGGCCTTCGACCTATTTGTTACACGTGTTGAAGAGTATTATCACTCGCTCAGCGACAAACTTGAAATATGAAAAAAAATTAAATAGGTATTAACCCTTTCTGGCAACAAAACAGGTGTTAAGATTTTGATTTAAAGCTTTCGTGACTGCAGGGATTCATATTCTTGGTTCTCTCGGTAAAGTTACGTAGAAGGGAAATAATAAAATAATAGAAATATAAAACAATAAAATTATCACGACTGCAACACAAGCAATCATCATCAGGTGTGAAATCCACAGCAAGAAAATTTGATTTCACACCTGATGATGATTGCTTGTGTTGAAGTCGAAACGTCGTGAGAATTGTTGTTTTATATTTTTATTATTGTATATTTTTATTATTGTATTATTTCCCTTCTACGTGACTTTACCGAAATAACCAAGAATATAGGTGTTAAGATGTTCATACGCCAAATAAAAACCTTTTGCAAGGAATCAATTCTGCATTAGCCGCACGTGCTTGTGCTGAACATGCAAACACATTATCTGATCATTATTTGTGCATGATCTTTCAAACTGATTGGCCTACACCAGAGGCAGCCTTCCATAGGGGCTCACCACTGGTAAGACTAACCTATTATTCCCCCCCCCCCCTATTTTTTGTTCATACTTTTATACTGCCAAAAAAATGTCCCATTTTCAAATATTTAACTTGTTTGCGTCAAAGTCTTACATTTAATATTAAGCTGCCCCCCCCCCTCCTGATGTCGTCACTTCATTACACGGATCCAGGGCCGGATTGACGTTCTTCTTGTCAGGCCCTCGGCACTTCTGGTTTGAGGGCCTTCAGTGATGACTTTCTGTATTTGGTAATGCCACCGCTTGTGCCACGCGGTACTTCGTCCAGCCGCAGGACAGATGTCGCTTTTGATACGTTCATTACTTAGTCCGTGCCCTCATTCGATGGGTTGCGCGCTGTGTGCCGCAAGATAAGCCGATTTAATTTGAAATTATTGAAGCAAAAAAAACGAGGTAAGCCTCAAAATATTAAAAGCGAAAATGTCTTCAACAATTTTTTTTTGCTGGGGTTACGTCAGCAGTTCTCCTGCTGTTTGTTTCACCTGATGACGGTTGCTTGTGTTGCGATCGAAACGTCGTGATCGATTCATTTTCTACCCACGTGACTTTACCGAAAGAACCAAAGAGTATGGGATTGCTGCAGTCACGAAAGCTTCAAATTAAGATCGTAAATCTTCCTTTAAAAAACACACCCTGAAGCGGAAGATTAGCGCTGGATACAGCTGGATACAGCGCGAATCTTTGCAAATGTGATTTGTAACTTTGATCCTCACCTGTGTATCGAAATTTCAATGTTAACGTACGATTTTATTGAGGGACGAATGCGGCGTTATCTTGGTGTGGACTGGGACTGTTTTTATTCTGCGTTAGCCAAGCTTGAAAAATCTGACTTATATCGTGAATTCTCTCAATTCTATTTAATGACTTGCTTACACTTTTTTTTCTCAATTTTTCACTCCTATTGGGGTTTTTCTTTTGTATCGTTAGTTGGAATGTCCGTGACTGGACGTGTGTGGGAGGGGGGATGAAGAGCTTCATAGCTCATCGGATTTCTCCTCCAATACAAACGTGATTCTCCCCTGGTGGGGTAGCGGTGAGCGCGCTGCGCTACGAACCCGGTGACCCGAGTTCGATTCCCGCTCACGGCCAACACTGCCCGAGACAATTAACTGAACCGGTCCTGGAGCATCTCCTAGGTCGACTCAAATGTGTAGCTGGTGCGACGTGTAAACATCGCCACTGGGGAGGCAAAGGCGGTCGGGCGTGGTGCTGGCCACCCACCCCCTCGTGTACCCTTACGGCCTTCATAGTTGCTCGCTAACAGCACTTGCCCCAACAGTCTGCTAAGGCTATACGGGGCGGGGGGGATCTTTGTCTTTGTTATGTAAATTTAAGCTCGTTTTCTCCCCAGGAAGAACCTCACCGAGTCAGTCACGTGACTTTTTTTTCAGAAACGTCTTGCTCCGTTTTTCACAACAGGGGGTGGAGTAAATCGTGCAAATGTGTAATCTGAATTGAGTAATTTGCCAGGGATAAAATCCTTCAGCATTGTGTCGCCAATATATACCAGCCAGCTACATTGTATGCGCTTTGGTTATTTTTTAGCCAAGAAGAGAAACCCCAGTGGGGGAGAAAATCACAACAGCCGCCGCCATTCGCCACTAAGTCACGGAGACGTCGCCACGACGCTTGTGCCAGACGAGATACACTCCGACGAGGCCACGTGAAGTATCGTGGGCTCGCTGCTGGCAAGGTGGCACAGACCCAGGTGCCATGGGTTGACCGACTGAGATGACCGGTAGATGCACCACCTGTCCCCCCTACTGTGCCAACTTGATACATTTTACCCGTCCGGCGCTCCGCTCGTTGTTGTGAGCGTCGCTCCTCCGCCCTCCGCTGTTGTTGGAGGGCGACTGCCTCCA